ATCATACTGGCTTCCCAGGTAAAGAGGGTAAAGAATCTTCCCACAGTGCAGGAGACCCAGGTTAGATTCCTGGGTCAGGAAGGTCCCCTGGAAAAGGGAATGGCAACCTACTCCAGTATTCTTTTTTTTTTTTTTTACTCCAGTATTCTTGCCTGGGAAATCCCATGTACAGAGGAGCCTGGCGGGCTACAGTCCATAGGGTTGCAAAGAGTCAGACATGACTAAGCGACNAGGCACTTTATTGGAATCTTCCCTGGTGGCTCAGATAGTAAAGCGTCTGTCTACAATGCGGGAGACCTGGGCTTGATCCCTGGGTTGGGAAGATTCCCTGGAGAAGGAAATGGCAACCCACTCTAGTACTCTTGCCTAGAAAATCCCATGAAGGGAGGAGCTTGGTGCAGACTACTGTCCATGGGGTCTCAAAGAGTCAGACACGACTGAGTGACTTAACTTTATCATTTTCTCCATAAAGATTTTGTACATGTATTATTTTTTTCTTTAATTGTATGTGTGGCTTGTGAGATCTCAGTTCTCCAACCGAGGACTGAATTCAGGCCATGGCAGGGAAAACCTGGAATCCTAAGCACTAGGCTGCCAGGGAATTCCGCATCTTTTGTTAAATTAAGATATTTAGGAAGGAATAAATAACACATTGTTATTGAATCTTTTTATTCTTATGCTGCTATTTTTCCTTAAATGAACTCTTGAAAATTGTTGTTGGTTTGCACAGGAATATAATTCATTTTGGAATATTGCTCTCCGGCAAAATTGAGAAATTTTCACTTTTCCTTACATTTAATTGTTCAGTTTAGTTCAGTTCAGTCACTCAGTCCTGTCCAACTCTCTGTGACCCCATGGACTGTAGCCGCCAGGCTCCTCTCCATGGGGGTTCTCCAGACAAGAATACTGGAGTGGGTTGCCATGTCCTTCCTCCAAGGGATCTTCCCAACCCAGGGATCAACCCAGGTCTCCAGCACTGCAGGTGGATTCTTTACTGTCTGAGCCACCAAGGAATTAGCTGTATATAGTATACACAAATCCCCTTCGTCTCACCCCACTCCCCATCTTACCTATCTAGTCATCAGAGCGCATGGAGCTGAGCTTGTAACTGCCTTAAATCCCTTATAATCTACTCAAAATCTCTATTCAAATCATAAAAGAAAAGCCTAAATGCTATTTGTCCCTTTCAGGGCTTTCAATTTAGACAAATCACAATGATAAACATTGTATCTACCTTCAATTTTATTTTTTAGTCTTTATTTAACTTGTTACAATATTGTTTCTATGTTTCAGGGTGTTTTGTTTTTTTTTTTAACTACCTCTAGGCATGTGGGAACCTAGCTTTCTGACTAGGATCCAACCTACACCCCCCTGCATTGGAAAGCAAAGTCTAACCACTGGACAGCTAGAGAATTCCCAACAGTAATACATTCTTGTAAAAAAAACTTTAGCAGCAGATAAAACTAAATGTCCCTTCTGACCACTCTCCAGAATTCTGCTTTTCTTGGGAAAAATAACCAACCACAGCATTCTGAGCTATGTCCTTCTGAAGTCTTATTTACAAAATTTTATATACATATTATATTCCCACAGAAACATAATAGTTTTCTTTGCATTTTTAAACTAGAAACAACATTAAGGGAAAAGCAGCCTCCTCAGAGTTCATAATGCATACACAGAGAGACCAGGTCAGTTTCTCACACTGGAAGTAAAATACTTCCTGAAGGGTTAGGATACAAGGAGTGTGTACTGAAATGCACATCCCAGTGCCTGCTCCCTTGTATCCCTATGCTGGCATGTCTCCTGAAAGATTTCATGAAGTGGACCTACGAGCATATACAGCAGTTTGTACTGTTTTTATGTTGATACTACCTTACCGTCCTCTGAAAAGGAAAAGCCACTGTATAGATAAAGTGAACACTCTTACCCTGGGAAAGTCAAAGCTTGCTCCTCCCTTCCCAGCAAATTTTAGACCAGAAAAATTATAATTAAATCCTGAAGAAGTCAGTAGTATATATCAGATGCAATCCAGCCAACTATTAAGTATACTGTAATAAATATTCAAGCTTATAAAGGACCAGTTAAAACACACTTAAAAAAAAAAAATCTCAATTTACCACTCTCAGATGATCACTACACCAAAAGATGAAATTCCCAGAACACTGTAACAAAAAATACTGCAGACATCTCGTTAAAGATTATCCTACAGTCAGGAAAACTAATCATAGAAATGTCTGAGAGAAGCTGTGCTATCACAAGAAATCAGGCCTATAAATCCAAGAAGCACCTAACAGAAGCCCCCCTCTACGGGTCACCCAAAGAGACCTCTAAATGAGTCACCATCTTTAGTGTCCAAGCCTTTACCAACCACCAGTTTCAAAGACGGCTGGCTATACAACTTCAACTCTCTTCGAGTTTAATACTCAAAGTAAATGGCAGAAATAGACTTTCAAGGTAACTCAGTTAACATTAAACATTTTAAAAAATTTTAATAACTACCTTTTCACTCTCATGGTATTCTAACTCCCAAAACTTAAAGCCTCAGGTCATCTGAATTATTCACAGAAGCAAAAGCAACACACCTCCCAAACTTCTATTTCCNTGCTCAGTTGTGTCCAGCTCTTTGCAGTCCCATGGATTGTAACCTGCCAGGCTCCTCTGCCCATGGAATTTTCCAGGCAAGAATATTGGAGTGGGATGCCATTTCCTACTATAGCAGCTCTTCCAAACCCAGGGATCTAACCCACATCACTTTTGTCTCCTGCATTGGCAGGCGGATTCCTTTCCACTAGCACCATCTGGGAAGCCCCCTCAAAGCTATAAAAGCATATAATTTAAAGAGATGGATAGTTCTGCATTTGTGATGAGAAGGAGAAACAGGTAATTCTGTTGTACAGTGTTTGTTATAAAAAGCACCCTGTCCTCTTCTCTTGCCTGCTCCAGGCACTACCAGGCAGTTCCTTCCGTTGATTTTAGCTGATTGTACATATGTACTGTTCCTCCTTGAGCAGTACAATTTAGGCATTGTTCTTTGATTTCCCCTATGGACGATTAGGCTTTAGCTCTTTTTGACTCCTTCTCCAACACTCTGTCCTCTCAGTACATAATATGAATTAGATCACTTGCATTATTACCTGTGTAGATTCTATTTATAGTTGAATCAGGTAGTGACGCATAAGTACTTTTATCTTTTCTGCACAATCTTGTTATAAAAATTGTTATAACAATTTTTTTGTTTGTTGGTTTATTTCTTAGTTTCACATGTATTTTCTGTGTAATTGCCTAAATAAGGACCATATTCTCTGCTGTTTCAGTAAATTTGTCCTCAAGACATTCTAGTATCTAGCCCAGACTGTTTGCTGTCTGTCACCAACCGTCAAACTTAGGATTTCCTTTTATCTATCTTGGGAATTTCCTTGGCCTCTCTCACATATTAGGTTACCAGTTTCCTATATCTCGTGTCTTTTTTTGTGTGATTTATTTCTTTATTTTGGTAGAACATAGTTTCTTGACAAGGAAACTATAAGGTAAATTCTCCAGTCCTTCAGGATTCTGAAATTTCCTCCTAGTGTGTTTAGATTTGATTTTTTTAAAAGAACTTATCCTGCCTGGTACTTGTACTTCCTAGATCTAAGCAATAATCTCTTTTATAAATCCTGGACAAAAAAAAAAATTCTGGACAATTATTAGTCTCATCTCTTCATATATTGCCTCTTCTCACTCTCTTTATTCTTGTCCCCTGGAAACAGAGTTGGTACATGACCTTATTTCAGTATCCAGATCCCTTAATTCTCTTTCGTATTTTGCATGATTTTCACTTTCTTTTTAGCAGTCTGGATAATTTCTTCATATCTATCTGCTTCTTTCCTATTTCTCTTTCCTAAATGTTTAAAGTGTCCATTTAATTTTTAATTTCGAAGGCTAAATTTTTAATATCTATAAGTTCTGCTAGGTGCTTTAAAAAATCATACAGGTCTTTATTTTTTGTATGTCTTTTCTTTTCCTGCTTATTTTATAGTTTCTGTCTGACAGTTTGCTTGTCTGATGTTCTGGAGATCTAATCCTGTTCTTGCGGTCTCTGATGATGCTCACTTACACTGGAGTTCTTGTAATTTTGGATTTTAAGCTCATCTTCAGGATAAGGTTATCTCTTGGAGTACCATGTGGCCTAGGTTAAGAATATGTCCTCCTGGAGACATTTTTTTTCTGTGGGTATTAATGCTAGCATTAGTCCAGGACTTCTTTTTTGTTGTGGCGTATTTCTCAGCATTGAGAACACATGTGTAGTATACATTTGAACCTGCGATCCAGTGAAAGCAGGCCTGTTACGAGTTTTCAGAAAGGAATTTTCCTTTACTCAGGACCCAAGTCAAGATGAAGAAACATCTTTGTCATTTTCTGTGTAGGTAGGGGGGCATTTCTTTTCTAGTCCCCCATTTCACTAGCATGCTTGGGGAAAGGAGCTTGTTTCCTGATTCTCCCTGGGCACTAATGCCCAAGTCTCTGAATCACTGAGCTGGGCAGTGCTTTCTTCTTTGCCCACCCTGTCCACTTTGGCTACAGCTGCATCAGCTTAGCTGTTCGTGCTGTGGTTTTCCATTCCCTCTGGTTGGGGGTCCCTGCTGATTTCCTTTACTTTCTTGCAATACTTGCCATCCAGTGAAAAGGAAGTTTGTTATGGCTGATCTTACATTTCTAGGTGTTTTGTAGTAGGGAGATTTTTCTTGTCCATAATATTGCCATTTGTACTTTTTAAACTTAGAGATGGAAGAGAAAAGAACATCTGGCAGGGAGGATCAGGAAAGGCCTTAGAGATGAGTGTCAGAGCCTAGAGGCATGGGAGGGGTCACAGCAGGTGCAAAAACAGAGGCAGGAAATGACTTTGTGGGAATGGAGAAAAGCATGTGACTTTCTTTCACTGGAGTGCCTCAGGGAAGAGGGAGAATGAGGCCAGAGGCAGAGGATACCAGATCACAAGCTTTGTTTCAGGAAGGTTAAACTGGAAGCATATCCAAGATGAATGGGTGTGGGTGGCAGCAGGTGGGAGAGGAGTTTGGATTTGAAAAAATGATTCTGGAGGCTGTGGAAATAGTCAAGGTGATAGGTAGTGTGGCCTGAATAGGGTAGTGGCAGGTAAAAGGAGGGAACCCTTGGGAGAAAGAGGGTGAGAGAGAGTCAGTGAACCAGATAAAGAAATCTGGGTTGAGAGCTGGGGGCGGGGGAGGAAGAAAAAGCCAAGCAAGCACATTGTCTGAATCCTGGGAAATGAATTAAAAATGTCCACAATTATCTGAGCTGCGTTCTACCTTTTACGATTTGTTCAGATACTAATAAATAGTTCATCTTGACTCTGTAGGCAGCTAAAGATGTTTTTAGGCCACTCGGTGAATAGTTGTCTCTGGACTAAAGGCAGTGTGTTCCAGTAGAGCTCCCAGAAGTGAATCTGGATGTGTCTGTCTTTCCAGAACCTGCTGACATGACGAATCATGGGGACGATGCACTGTCCTCTAGAACTGGTGCTCCAGATGGGGATGATCGACTCTCTGAGGACAGATCCTTGGTCCAGCAGAGGCTGGCTGTCAGGGAACTCATTGACACCGAGGTCTCCTACTTGCACGTGCTCCAGCTCTGTGCCTCTGACATTAGGAGCCGTCTGCAGCAGGTACCTGGGTGGGGCCACACTCAGTTTGTCTTTATAGAGGCAAACATGGGTCCCGGCTTCTGAGACCGCACATCTGTTCCTGGGGCAGGCTTGATGGAGGGGAAAGTGGTGTGTGTGAAGTCATGGTACTTCTACTACTGGCCCTGCAACCTTCAGCAAGGCTTTTGACACCTTGGAGCCTTAGTATAAAAAGTGTTAGTTGCTTAGTCTTAGTGTATTCTTCTGCTAAATGGGCAGAGAAGAATCACCTCAGAGAATGAAATGAGCTAATGGATAAAATAGCCCTTTATTAAGTTTAGAACAGATTCTTTTAAGTGACCTATTTGTAATTGTCTCATTTGGAGTGTGGTAACATGAAAAAGTTATCATTACATGGATTTCTAATTTAGTATTCATTTTTTACATCTTTTCACCCCAGTTTCAGAAATATCACAGACTCTCTTTCTAAAATTTCAACCATCCCCTAGCATGTAAGTTCCATAAGGGGAAAGGCTGTTTATTAATAGTTCAGTGTATCCCAGTTCTTGACATATAAATAATGGACTCCAATTAGTATTTATTGAATAAATGAAATAAGCAGATAATGTAGATGAAAACCCTCCCTTATTTCACCCTCCAGAAATTGGGATTTTTCCTCTGGAGGCATTAAACAAACAAATATAGATTGTTACTTATTTTAACAAAAATAAAGCATACTCTAGATATTTTTATACAGTTAGCTTTTCCCACTTGATTGTGCATCCAGGGCTTCTATCTGTATATATATCCTATATAGGGCTTCCCTGGCAGCTCAGCAGTAAAGAATCTGCCTGCAATGCACGAGACACAGGAGACGTGGGTTCAATCCCTGGGTTAGGAAGATCCCCTGGAGGAGGGCATGGCAACCCACTCCAGTATTCCTGTCTAAAAAATCCTATGGACAAAAGAGCCTGGCGGGGTACAGTTCACAGATTGTATCGGACGCGATTGAAGCAACTGAGCACAGTCAACATCTGTAGATATCCTGCATCCTTTTAACAGTGGTGTAGTTTCGTTCATAGGGGCTGGAGTTCAGAATATATCTAAAGGTAATAGTGGTAGGTGCCAAGTGTGTCAGAGCTGGAAAGAAGTCCAACTTCCCACACTTATACGACAGATGGGGAAATGAGAGAAGAAAAATTATAGTTGGCAGCAGACCTAGGATAATGCAGTTCAGCTTTCCTTTCATGCTGAATGTTCCATTTCTTCCTCTCTTCTCTTAGAGTAATAAAAATACCTAATTTATAAAATTTCAAAGTCCTTTCAAACATTCCTCTGGAACGGTCTTCCCAAGAGAGATGGAACCCCGATGGCATGACTATTCTGGACTACTGTCCAAAACCTACAAAAAAAATCACTCTTACCAAACTCCTGAGCAACCTTCCACGGAGTCTTTGTTCCTTTTAGCTGCCACAGGGAGATCTGGATGTCCTGTTCTCAAACATCGATGACATCATCAAGGTGAACAGAAGACTGCTTCATGATCTGCAGGAGACAGCCTCCAGGGAAGAGGAACAAGTGCAGCTGATCGGTGAGCAAAAAACCAGGCATTTGGCAGCCTGAGATTCCCGTGGAATTGTTCTAGGCATGTGGTCATTGCTGTACTTTCCCCAGCATTCCAGGGAGATGCAGCTCAATGAGAGGCTGTTTTGGGAGTCCCTGAAATACAGTATGTCAGAGCTGGCAGGACCCTCAAAAGATATCCAGCCCAACCTATCACTACAGATGAAGAGACTGAGGCCTAAAGACAGAGAGGACATACTGATAGACACATAATTGGTTAGTGGTGTGGCTGAGATTCTATCCTGGGGTTTTTTTCACAGTCGTTCACTCAATAGGTACTTAGTGATCACCTGCAGTGTGCCATTAACTGTGCTGTGTGCTGAGGTTACAGAAGGGTCCAGTCAACCAGAGGGTCTGATCTTCTGTTCTTTTGGGTTAGTGAGTGAGAGAGACAGAAGATACACAGATAAACAGGAGAATTTTAAGTAGTAATTTGTAATTTAAAGAAAAACAAATATGGTAACTTTTGAGAAAAGAGAAGGCCTCCTGAGGAGAGGACATTTGAACTGAGACCTGTTAGGGAGGAACCAGCTACGAGATGATCTGGACAAAGAGTAGAGAAAACAGGTATGCAGAGGCCCTATTCTTTGGCGGAGATGAGCCTGGGATATTTGATGGACAAGGCTGGTGAGGCTCCAGGGCAATGAGCAAGGGGAGAGTATAGGAGATAGGTAGAAGAGGCAGAGAAGAACCAGATCCTGCAAGGCCTTCTAGGAGTGTGGATTTTCTCCTAAGTGTGATGAGACCTCATTGGACAATTTTGAGCAGGGGAGTGATTTGGTCAGATTTCGTTTTCAAAGATCCTTTTGATAGTTGTGTACGGTGGATTGTGAAAGAGTGGTAAGAGTGGAAGTAATGAGATCAGCTGATGCTTTTAGCTTCACCTAGGTGAGAGATGGAGGTGGACTCCTGATTCTGAAATAGTTAGGATGACCAGACATAAAGGAGGAGGAATGAGTAGGTGTAAACTTCAAACTTCTGCAGTCCCTTTCCGTCTCCTGTTCTGGGGCTGCTTGATAAAACTTCTATGGTCAGGGGTTTTCAGGTGGAGTCAGAGGACAAAGGTGGATGGGCCGAGAAAGGTAGATGGGTGTAGGCTCAGGAGTTGTGATGCACAGGCTTAGTTGCTCCATGGCATATGGGATCTTCCCAGACCAGAGATTGAATCCATGTCCTACATTCACAGGTGAATTCTTTATCACTGAGCCACCAGGAAAGCCCAACTATTTCCTTTAAATGATAGAGGAATACAAAATTAAGGAACAAGATTTTTTAACAGTATCTAGGTAGATATTTTTACCTTTTATCATTTTATCTGTATTTCTGTTAATGATGACCACTTATTTGAGTGAAATTTTTTGTTACATTTGTACTGGATTTTAGTTGCGGCTTGTGGGATCTCGTTCCCTGACCAGAGATCAAACCCAGGTCCCCTGCACTGGGAGTGCAGAGTCTTAGCCACTGGACCATCAGGGAAGTCCCTTGAGTAGAAATTGTTACAACCTCAGGTTGAAGAAGCTCCAGGGTTTTGGGGACTTCTGTTGCTCTGGGTTTGAGATTCAACTACTTCCTTGTTAAGGGTCCTCACTTATTCATCTCTGCCTTCCAGTTTAACCTGCAAAAAGTTAAGATGCTACTTTGTCCAAGCCTGGTGACATCTCCATTCCCTGGCTTCCCTGTTTCCCTGATAGATTTGCCACATAAAATACAGGATGCCCAATTACATTTGAATTTTACATAAACAATGAAAGTTATACTAAGTTTACTAAGTATACTAAACTTATACTAAGTTTATCCCGTGGAATACTTGGGACATACTTATATTAAAACTTTCATTATTTATCTGAAGTTCAAATTTAACTGAGCATCTTATATCCTGCCCCCCCCCCCCCATTTTGGCAAGCCTGTCCCCTGGCCTTTACTGAGTGTACAGAAAATAGCCTTCTCATCCTCTGACCCTTATGGTTAGCCAAAAAGAGGTACAAAGAATCCACACAGGCTTTTCTTTTCCTAGGTGCAACTTTGTGCTTGATCAAGGCTGAGCTGGTTTCTACCAGCTCTCCCTATTCCTAGCCCTGCTATGCAAGGGAGGCCCTTATCCCAGTTTCATACCACAGCATTTTAAAAGATTTTTGGACATCAGGCATGAACCTCCCAAATGAGTCAGGTTCTGTGTTCTTACGAATGATTTCAAATGCAGCTCCCTGTGGAGTTCCCCCAAGGGCTCCTGTCACTGGAAGGCACCATGTTCTAGTTTAGTGTTATCTGAAAGAAATGCAGTGTGAGCCTTGAATTTAATTTAAGACTTTTGAGTAGCTACATTAAAAAAACTAAAGCAGTGAAATTAATTTTAATGATATATCTCATTTAACCCAAAATATCCAAAGTAATATTTCAACATGTAATTAGTATAAAACTTACTCATGATACGTTCTACTTTTTTTTTGGTACAAAGTCTTTGCAGTCCAGTGTCATTTACACTGACAGCACATCTTAATTGGGATTCTCCATATTTCAAGTTCCCAGGAGTCATATATGGCTCATGGCTTATAGGTCAAGTGGTTTAGAGCAGGGGCTTTGGAATCTGACTTGCAAGGTTCTGTCACCCACATCTCGTTCATGTCTCTGAGCTTCAGTTTCATGCCATCTGTATGAAAATAGTACCCATTTCGGTGCCAGACAAGACTATGGGAACCTAAATCAGTCCTGAATATTCATTGGAAGGACTGATGCTGAAGCTGAAACTCCAATACTTTGGCCACCTGATGCAAAGAACTGACTCATTTGAAAAGACCCTAATGCTGGGAAAGATTGAAGGCAGGAGGAAAAGGGGACGACAGAGGATGAGATGGTTGGATGGTATCTCCGACTTCATGGACATGGGTTTGAGTAAGCTCGAGGTGTTGGTGATGGACAGGGAAGCCTGGTGTGCTGCAGTGCATGGGGTCGCAGAGTTGGACACAACTGAGCGACTGAACTGAACTGAACATGAAATAGCCCTTTTTATTCTCATGACCTTGTTTCTTATTGATTATTATTATTAGTGGACAACAGAGGATCTTGGTGTGCTACATGCAGTCCATGGGGTCCCAAAGAGTTGGGCACAACTTAGTGACTGAACAACAACATTATCATCCCCATTTTGTTGAAGAAAAACCTGAGACTCAGAAAGGTTAAGTAACTTTCCTAAGGTCAAACAGCTTGACCAGGCAGAGTCATGATTTGAGCAGCTCCTTCAGACAACATCCTGCCTCCCTTTCTCATTTCTCCAGCCAGAGGTATAGTGGCCTTTTGATACTGAGAGTAACTCTTAGCTGCTGTGACTTTCCAATCCGTGACTTTAAGGAGGACAGGAGGAGAAGAAATAAGTCTTTGGTGTCCCTGCATTCCTGCCTGTTGGACAGCTCTGCTCTCTGCTCTAGGAAGTTTGCTTTCCTCCACCTTCAGTTGTGGAAACACTCCTGCCCCTGGCCATGCAGTTTCTTTGGCAAAAGTCACATTCCTGCAGAACAGCCTAAGGAGAGAAGAATGTGGGAACCACCCCAGGTTTCAGGGCTACGCCTAAGCTATCTTCTAGTGAGGTCATCTCTGCAGCTAGCTGACCTCTCTGTCCTATGCATTCTCCCTAACTGCAATTTTGGGTAGTCTTTCCTGGTCACGTTCTCCCTTGTTCTGGGGCTTCTCCTGAGGGAGTTCTCTCTGAGGATTGTCTTGACCAGCACTGGGGAGGGGTTTTGGTTCCTGGGGTGGTAGTCTCTCTGTGGAAACTTTTGCTGAGAGCTGGACCATGCTGGTCCAGTTACTCCCTGTCTCAAGGGGGGCCTGGTGCCTTTCACAGGTACAACACACAGCATCAGCTGGCTTTAGGCTTAGCTGGGCTTCCTGTGGTCTGTGGCTTACTTGCCCTTTTGTGACTAATACGTTTCTCTTCACCCTCACCACTATCCCCTTAGATAGACAACCAAATAGTCTTGCCTTTTTTTTTTTTTACATTTATTTATTTATTATTGGCTGCACTGGGTCTCTGTTGCTGTGTGGGCTTTCTCTAGTTGTAGAGAGTGGGGCCTACTCTCTAGTTGTTGTGCGCAGGCTTCTCTTTGCCATGGTTTCACTTGTAGAGCACAGGCTCTAGGGCACATGGGCTTCAGCTGTTGCAGCTCATGGGCTTAGTCGTACCAGGACATGTGGGATCTTCTCAGACTAGGGATCACACCAATGTCCCCGGAATTGCAAGGCGGAGTCTTATCCACTGGACCATCAGGGAAGTCCTGGAGTAGCCTTTTAATAGCTATTCCTCGTCCCATGTTTTACTCCTGATTTAGTCTCAACAGAGTATGGCTCTAACAGACTTTATTTTTTGTCAGCTTCTTAACTCTTATATGTGGTTCATTAGTTAGCTGTATACCACCTTAAGTAATCGTTGGTTCTAGGAATCATCTTTCACACTCTGTGAGTGAAGTGAAGTTGCTCAGTCGTGTCCGACTCTTTGTGACCCCACAGACTGTAACCTACCAGGCTCCGTCCGTCTATGGGATTTTCCAGGCAAGAGTACTGGAGTGGGTTGCCATTTCCTTCTCCAGAGGATCTTCCCAACCCAGGGATTGAACCCGGGTCTACACGCATTGTGGGTAGACTTTATTTTTTTAGAGCACTTTTAGATTTACAGAAAAATTAAGTAGAGGGAATTCCCAGTGGTTAGGACTCTATTTTTCTCTTACATATATTTCTTGATTGATAGCATTAAAATTGATTTATAATATTCTTAATATATATTAATAGTTTCATGTGTACAACATTTCGTTTGATTTTATATATACTACAGTGTGCCCACAACTGAAAATTTAGTTTTTATTTGTCACCAAGCAGTTGACCCCCTTTAACCATTTTTCCTGCCCCCAACTTCCCTTTCCTCCTACATTTATTAATTCTTATTCTATAAGCAAGAAATGTCCCTTCCATTCATTTTTTTAACTTATTTTTAGTTTTCAAATTTTTAGGTATAGTTGATTTACAGTGTTTATAAGTTTTAATTGCACAGCATAGTGAGTCACAATTTTTATATTTATTTGTTTTATTTATGGCTGTGTTTGCTCATCTTTGCTTTACGCAGGCCTTCTCCAGTTGAGGTGATGGGTGGCTACTCTCTAGTTATGCTCAGGCTTCTCACTGCAGTGGTTTCTCTTGTTGCGGAGCTTGGGCTCTAGGCGTGTGGGCTTCAGTAGTTGTGGCACCGGTTCATAATTTTTAAAGGTTATAGTTATAGATTTTTTTATAGTTATAAAATATTGGCTCTATTCCCTGTGCAGTACCCATTCGTTTCTTTATTCAACTTTTATACAAGTATAAATTCATGGATATTTGCTTTATTCCATAAATCAGAATCCAGTACTATTATTATTCATTTTCTTGCTCAAATTTTACCAGCTTTGGCCATAGGGAGCTCTTTCAAGTTGACACCTGTGTCCTTTCAATGTGTCTCTAACAATTTGTGAGCACTTTCTTGCTTTCTGACGTCACAAGGTGTTCTCAGCTCATCTTGTATTTTCCCTGCCCCGTCCTTGCAATCAGCTTTTCTCCTGGGAGACCTGGTTCCTACCTTTTTGGTGTGCTCGTTGCTCCTGGGGGGTCATTGCTTCTAGGCCCTCTTAGCTGATATGTAGGAAATATGTGTATATATACTAACACATGCGTGTACACACATCTACATTTCTGTCTATATCTATCCATCTATGTTGTTGTTTAGTTGCTAAGTCATGTCCAACTTTTTGTGACCCCATAGACTACAGCCTGCCAGGCTCTTCTGTCCATGGGATTTCCCAGGCAAGAATACTGGAGTGTGTTGCCATTTCCTTCTCTAGCAGATCTTCCCGACTCAGGGATCAAACCTGCATCTCCTGCAATGGCAGTTGGATTCTTTACCACTGAGCCACCAGGGAAGCCCATCTATATTTATATATTTAAAATACATAAAACCATGAGTTCCTACTAATACCTCCAATTCCAGTCCAGTATCTCAGGGTTCATTCTAATCATTCCTCTTTTCTTATTTGCAGCATCTTTCTGTGACAGGTAGAAATGGTTGCCATTATCTACAGTGTGTTTACTTATTTGTTCGAAGTTAGTAGTCACTTAGAGTATTTTTTTTTTTTTGGTTATTTTATATTTTAATTAGAATTACTAGCCTGTACCTTTGTGAAAAATACTTCCGTTAATTTTTTCCTACACCCTTCAGTGTGGTTATGTTATTCATTTGTAGTAGAATTAGGTTCATTCCTTATTTTTTGTTTTCTATTTGGGGTTCCCCTTCCACATCCTGATTGGTCTTAGCTGTATATTTATTTTGGAAGTATGTAAAATATTACCATGGTTCCAAGATCAGAGCTAAATAAGAAGATATATTCAGTAAAGCATTGTTTCCCTCTCATCCCTACTATCCTATCCCATTCCCCGTTCTTTCTATCCCATTCTGTCTCCACAATAAGTAACTAATCTCATAAATTTCTGTGTGTTTTTTTTAAATATAGAATGTCACAACTTGGCATATCATTCGTGTGCAGGGGACTGCCAGTCTTTCTTGTATTGTTATAACTTTAGTGTAAGTGCTGTTGAAATTGAGCGTGGGCGTGATCCTTTTAAAACAAAAACTAGATCATTGTCGCCCCTGCTCAAAACCCTCCAGTTGCTTCCTGCCACCATTAGAATAAAGCCTGAACACCTTACTATACCATACTTACTTACTTCAAGGCCCTACATAATCTGGCTTCAGTTTCCTGTTTATTTTCTCTACTTTGTGCCCTTGCTCACAGTGTTCCAGCCACACCTGCCTTCTTGTGTCACCTGCATGTCAAGCATTCACTTGCCTTAAGGCCTTTTGTATTTGTCCTTCCCTAAGCCTGGCACTGCTCTTCCCTCAGACTTTCTCAGGGATGGTTTCTTTTGGACTGTGATAAACATCCACATCTTTATGGAGGTCTTTCCTAAATAGATCTCCTGTGTGTATGTGCTTAGTTGCTCAGTCATGTCTGACTCTTTACGACCCCATGGACGGTAGCCTGCCAGTCTCCTCTATCCCATGGAATTTTCCAGGCAAGAATAAACTGGAGTGGGTTGCCATTTCCTACTCCAAGGGATCTTCTCAACCCAGGGATCGAACCCACGTCTTTTGTGTCTCTTGCCTTGGCAGGCAGATTATTGACCACAGTGACACCCAACTTTTTATCTGGCTTTGTTTAAATCTGTGGTATTCATCACTACCTGGCATCAGTTCAGTTCAGTTCAGTTCTGTCTCTCAGTCGTGTCCGACTCTTTGCGACCCCATGAACCGCAGCACTCCAGGCCTCCCTGTCCATCACAAACTCCCGGAGTTTACCCAAACTCATGTCCATTGAGTCAGTGATGCCATCCAACCATCTCATCCTCTGTTGCCCCCTTCTCCTCCTGCCCTCAGTCTTTCCCAGCATCAGGGTCTTTTCAAATGAGTTTGCTCTTCGCATCAGGTGGCCAAAGTATTGGAGTTTCAGCTTCAACATCAGTCCTTCCAATGAGCATTCAGGACTTATCTCCTTTAGGATGGATTGGTTGGATCGCCTTGCATATGTAACATATAAATAAATATATTTATTTATTGTCTGTCTTCCCCACGAGAATATCAGCCCCATGAGGTAGGGTCATTATTTCATTCAAAGAACTTACAAGAGTGCCTTATACACAGTCAGTACATAAGTAGTTGGTAAGTTTTTGGGAAATGAAGTTTGTGTCAGGTGCTTTATATGCATTTTTAAAATTAATCATCCCAGTGAACACTTGGAGGTGAGTACTATTTGTATTCCTGTCTATAGATGAAAATATGGAGGGTCAGAGGGACCAGATACTCACCCTAGACTGTACTACTGGGAAAATGTTGGCTGGAGTTCCGGCCCTACTTCTCTCTGACTCCAAAGCCCACATTTGTGACTATCCGTGCTGTGCTGTAGGGTGTCTTTGTAAACAGGGTTTGGAGTTGTACTTGCTACACATGGTATTTATAAAGATATAACATGAATGTGTTTTGTAAACTATAAAGCATTGTCCAAATGTGAGAATTTTCAATATTATTGCTGTAATTATAGATAATATCTATTAAGCACACACTTTATCATTCTGTCACTTAATCCTACAGCAGCCTTTTGAAAGTGAGATGAAAAAATGGGAGCTGAGGAAGATGAGGTGACTTGCCCAAGGTTACAGTGCTGGTTAAGCCAGACAATCTTATGTCAGAGCTGAAGTGCTTAGCTGTGTCACTCACGGCCTCCCTGTTCTAAGCAAGAGGACATGCAGACATGCTTTTGAGAACTTGTTGCCTTTTCACTGTCAGGTAATGCATTTCTGGAATTCCAAGAGGAGTTGGAGCAAGTCTATAAGGTATACTGTGCCAGCTATGAACAGGCCTTGCTGCTGGTAGAGACCTACCGGAAGGAGCCAGAGCTGCAGCGGGAGATCCAGGGCATCATTGAGGCAGTGCTGTGAGTAGAATGATCCCTACGGATGCCAAGGTCAGGGGCTCTTAAAGTCTCACCCTCGCTTGGGGCTGCTCACACTGTTTCAGGAATGTCCTAGTCAGGCTAGGCTAGGCTATGCTGCAGAGACAAACAATCCCCAACTCTTTTAGTAGTTTCAACCAATGAGGTTTCCACCTTCCTTATGCTCCAGTGTGGGTTAACTTGGGGCTTTTCCCAGTGTCATGCTCACTCTGGAACCCAAGCTGACCCCAGACACTGTCTGGAACATGGCCGGTAACTTGGCAAAGAACAAAGAACTCTGGAGGGTCTCACACTGGTTACTAAATGTTCCAGGCCAGAAGTAATATCCATTGCTTCTCATAATTTTCAGAGCCAGAACTAATCACCTGACTTCATCCAGTACCAGGAGGCCAGGGCATGCCTTCCAGCCATGTGTTCAGAGGTGGAAAAGCAGAAACATTTGTTTAACAGCATTTGTGCCCACCATAGGGAGGGCAGTGAGATGGTGGGAACCATGTGCTACAGCACATCTTATCCTTAACCCTTGTACCCCCTGAAGCCTTCTTTTGAAGTCGCCATGTCCTAGCCCCTCCCAGCCTTCAAAAAAGCCTACTTTCATTTTCTTCTTCGATTCCTTTGATCCCTTCATGGATCTTACAAACTTAGGCTTTTGTAAGGGTCACTAAATACATTTCTACAGGAGTGAGGCAAGTATCAGAAATGAAGGGAGCAGGATGCCAGCTGTGAGACAAAAGGGAGTGATGGAGACTCTGGCAAATCAGAGCCATCAGTCCCTATATAGAGTGCAGCTGCAGCCCAGCCTCAGCTGATCACTGTTGTATCAAGTAGCTTTTGCTATAGCATATCACCCCAAATATAGTGGTTTAAAATATAAATCATCTCCAAAATTTAAAGCAAATATTTCTCAAGGTCACATTTATGCATGTTAGCAATTTAGCTGGACTCAGTAAATGATTTTTCTAGTCCTGGCTGGACTCCCTCACATGTCTGTGATCAACCATAGGTCAGCTTTTCTGATGTTGGCTGGACTTTCCTATGAACATGGGACATACGAGCTGACTCAGCTCTGCCTTTTGAGATCTTGGCTTAGAATTGGCATGCTGTGCCACTCAGGAGGTGGGAAAATAGTCCCCACTTCTTGGTGGGAGAAGCTTCAAAGTCATATTCAAAGGGTATAGATACAGAGAGTAAACTAATTGCAGCCATTTTTTTGGTAAACCATCTACCTCAGTTGCTGTGTAGAAATATGATTCCACTGTGACCAGATCCTCTGATCTTTCAAGAGAAACCAGAAGCTTTGATGTAAGTCTCCCCAGTGTTAAATATTGGCATTTAGTTCAGACATGTTAGAAGCACTGTGTGGGGGGCCTTAGTTGGCACAGAGACTGCTCTTTGTCACATCTTCTGCACTCCGGTGTTTCCCAACTAGGGCAGATGTTTCTCATGGGCTTTGGCGCCAGGCAGCCTGGCAACGAATCGAGCTCTCTGCTCTTCATTCACCTTGGCAGGAGCCATTTAGTGTGTCAGAACCTAGCTTCCCTACATGTAGAGTGGGAGTAAAAGCAACAGCTCTTGGGGATGTAGTCTCATTGCATACAGGTGATACTCAGTAATTCCCAGCTGTGGTAGTTATCTTGGTTAGGAAGGGATTATGCTTCCCTGAGACCACACTGTGGTTCTCTGCTCCTTCAGTTCCAGTGCTCCCTTTTTATAACAAATTTATTATCCTGTGTTACATTGTGAAAAAAATTCTCCTGCCCATATACATAATTGAAAAAAATAAACATAATAGCTTAGCTATAATTAAAGGAGAAATAAAAGGAAAATAATTTCTAATAATATAATATGTATTTCAGTATGCAAATGCTTGGGCACCACTACACTAGCAATCACATGTGTATAAGCAAAAAAGAGTCAGAAGCCATTCTATACACAAAGTACAGAAAACCAAAAGAGCAGAAAATATGTGTACCCTGGAATGACACAAACTTGACTTCCTTGTGTATGATAAGAGAAAGGAGGAAATAACATAATTGAAGTAGGGATAATATTATATACTGGGAGGCAGAGAAAATGAGGAATGATGTTCTTACAGATGGCCTGTGTCGTATTTACAAAAGTTAGTATCATAGTAATTCCCAGTGTGAAGATATGTGACTGGATGGAGTCCAGGTGTCACAAAAATATCTCAGTTCTTGAACTTGCAGCCCGTTTCAAGGCATTCATTCAGTCTCTGAATGTTGAGAGGGGCATATGAAGCGTAGAACAATTCTCCATAATGCAAGACTGTCCTTGCAGGATATTCTGCTTCCCTGGGACCCTGTCCACTAAATACCTGTAGCACCCCAGAGCCTGCAGGTTTTAAGACTGCCCTCGGTGGAATCCTCTGGTCTAATGTTGCAGCAGGAACGACATCCTTTCGGTCATCCCAATTTTACTCTGTGTATTTACAGGCAGACAGGAAATAGACTTCCTACGGAAAGTATAGACACTGGATGGTAGGTGGATGGATGGATGGTGGGTGAATGAATTTTAAGGGGCTCCTACTATGTATGCTGCTCTAGAACTATTAATCACCTCCCTCCTGAAACAGTCATCCTGGCTTTCTGTGCTGAAGATCATGGGGCTCTTTCTGAGCCTGGCTGACTAGGATCACACCAGCTGGATATCCAGATAGATAAATGGCACCATCTCATTAGATCTTTGTGATTCCAAAATATATGCTAGCTCCCACTGGGTGGGTGAGTTGGTGAGGTGTTTAGTTTATCCTAGCTCTTAAGGCAGTGCTTCCCACCTGGCGGCCAATGGAATCAGAGACTTGTCCTTGCAGCCACAGGGAGCTTTGCCTTAGGGAGACCAGTCTAATGGCATAGCTTTCCGTGGGGAGGAGAGGTGGATCAGTCCAACACAAAGTACCTGCAGTTCCACAACAGCTTAGGCAGAGTGTTGGGAGGAGACACATAATCTGTTTTCCTTTATTGGCATTTTTTGTTTAAGTATGAAAATAACATACTTATTGAAGAAGGGAAATTTCAAACAATACACAGATTATATAAAGTAAAAAGTATAAGTCCATTCCCCCTTGGTTTCCTGTTTCCCATGCCTCCCCCTAGTAGTTAATATGTTCCATCCAAATTTGATTCTGTCTATATACAGACAGGTAAGAAATAGACTTTCCGTGGGAAAGTCTAGATGCTGGATGGATGGACGGATGGATAAATAGTAAGAATGAATGAATTAATGAATTTTTAAGGGACTCCTACTCTACATTCTAGGACTTGTTTTTTCACTCAACCATAGCCATTAATTATTTTACCATGTTCCTTTTTTTTTTTTTACCATGTTCTTTTTTAATGGCTACATAGGGTTCTTTTCCATAGTCAGCTCATCCCCTGTTGATGGATATTTGAGTTGCTTCCCAAATTTTACTGTCACAGAGTTCCTGAATAACTTCTACCTTTATCCATGCTCTCTTGAGTTAATATTTCTGTGGGTAGATTTCTGCAGTAGGATTGAGGGAATTGTATGTTTTACAAATTGCTAAATTACTCTCTAAAAAGATCCCACCAACTGATAACTTCCACCAAGAGAATGTAAGAGGGCTGGTTTCCCCATATTCTTCCAACTCTGGGTGAGTCTTTCAATTTTTTTTGGCCATACCATGTGGTATGCAGGATCTTATTTCTTCAGTCACTATTGCACCCATATCCCCTGCATTGGGAACACAGAGTCCTAACCACTAAACTACCAGGAAGTCCCAAGTCTTTTAATTTTTATTGCCCATCTGATAGGCTACATAAAGAGTTTTCTCCAAATTACTTTAGAAAGGCTGTAAAGAAAGAGGTTGCTATAATTCTGTAGTTCTTGATGATTGTGGAAAAGAGACGTAATCATCTCTTTGAAGGCCCTCTGCCCTCTGTCATCTCTGATTTGTGAGGCAACAGTTGTCCCTATGAGTCAATTGTCCCTTTCCTATGAAAAGTAAGCCCAGAGGACAGGAGTTTTGCAAATATCTGACCACTGTTTCCACCTCTCCTGCCCACAGTCAGCCAGGCGCTAGGAAGCCCTTGATGAGAGCAGATGGTCAGCACAGGCACATCCTGACAGTTCCACCCCTGTGTTCCAACCTCCCGCAGTTAATGGGAGGGAGGGGGTAGTTCCCACCTGCTCTGTCTGTTCCAGGCCTTATGGCTGATCTTTCCTGGACATTTGGTCTGGAGGTTTTTTCCATAGGAAGAAGAGCAAAAGGCAAAGGTACTGTGGAGAGGAGGCCAGATAATAGTCATGAGAGGTATTTGTGAGTCTTCGTGGAGGACTTAGATATTGAGGTTTGAAACCCTCGTGTGTTTCTCAGAAGGTGGGTCTGAGGGCTACTTGTCATGATCAAAAAAGACTGTTGGAGCCTTGTCCCAGATACCATTGACTTGGGCACTCTTTCTGAAACTTCCAGACATCTTCAGGAAGGGGGCTAGAAATAATCATTTATGCATCAAATGATACATATGGAAGGGACCTTGACACTATTAGTTCTTGTGTTTTGTATTTTCCTTTTTCAAATTAAAATTTTCAAGCCCTAAAAAAAAAATTTTCAAGCCCTATAGAAAAATAGAATAATGTAATGAACACACACACCCACCACCTGAAATGAGCAAGTATAAATACCTTTTGTTTGCCACATCTAATTTTATACTAAGTAATTTAAAGGAAATTACAGATACTATGAGTCTTTACCCTTAAATACTTTATATGCCTCTCTAACATTAAATTCCTATGATTACAAAAAACAAAAAATTTGAGGGGGCTGTGCCCCAAGGCTTGTGAGATCTTAGTTCCTCCACTGGGGATTAAATCTGGGCCCACAGCAGTGGAAGCACTGAATCCTAACCATCAAACCACCAGGGATTTCCCAAGTTCCTGTGATTTTTAAAGTGCTTCTTTTTGAAGCAGTAGGACCGTTTTATTAAATGAAGTACCATGTGCATGTCCAGCAGATGGAGTTGTGCTTGAGATATACCCAAGTGGAGATCTCAAATAGGCTAGTTGACGGTGTGAGTCTGGAGCCCTGGGCAGAAGTAAGAAGTGGAGATCTGGGTTTGCCATGTGTTTAAAGCCATAGGACCAAAGGGGCTCAGGAAGAGAGTGAGTGGAGAGAGGAGGCCCTGGGGCACGCCAGCATTGGAGAGAAGCCAGCAGAGGAGGCCAGGAGAGTGGCCTGTGGGGTGAGAGAAGCAGGACAAAGGGCATCTCTGGGGCCAAAAGAAGAAAGTGTTTTGAGAAAGAGGGAATGGTCTTCTGTGTCTGCTATTGAGAGACCGAGTAAGCTGAGGACAGAGAACTGACCTTTGGATTTAGTACATATGGGGAACTGAGGCCTAGAAAAATGTAAAGTGAGAACTAGCAGCACCCGATGAGGAAATTGAGGACCCCCAAAGGAGGGTGACTTGCCTGAGATCACACAGTGAGTTAAACAGCAGAGCTGCCACTGGAGCCCAGGCCCCTTGGTGCCCCCAAGGGTGGACTTGACCTACTTAACACCAGCCTTCTCCCTCAGGCCGCAAGCTGGACCTTCAGGCCTCAGTTTCTTGCTGGTAATTCCTCTGCAGAGGATTACCAAATACCCATTGCTGCTGCAGAAAATTCTGGAGAACACACTCCCTGATACCAGTGCCTACGCTGTCCTTCAGAGGGCTACCTCTGCCCTCCAGGATGTGGTCACCAACATCAATGAGTACAAGAGGCGCAAAGAAGTGGGTAAGGACTTGGGGCATTTAGGCGATACATTAGTGAGAATGCTTCTAGTTAACAATAAACTCACCTCAAATGGGCTTCACCAGTAAAGGGAAGACAGTCGCTTATATAACCTACAAGTCCAGAGGTAACGTGGGCTTTAAGTAGGATTTTCTGGGAGCTGGTGTCATTTCCCTATAATTCTCTTATCTCTGACCTTCACTATGTGTCACTTGCCTCTTCAAACTGGCCTCCTTCATAAGAGTAAGTGGTTATTGCTGTCCTAAGACTCACATCGGAACACCACACCTTCCAGGAGAACATGTTTCCTTTTTCCGCTTAGTTATAAACACTAAATTGAAGTTTCATTCTAATAGGATTCATTTGAGTCATATGCTCACCCTGAACCAATTGCCATGGTTAGGGGAATGCCATGAACTAATTGATTGGCTTAGGCCTGGGTTGTAAGCCTTTCTTTGAACCTGTCACTGTGATAGAGGAGTGGGGATCGTGTGAATTGGCTTATAACAGTCAGCAACCACTCCCTGAACTAAAGTAAAATCATTCTTATCCAAACCACATGGCTGCTATACTAAGGAGAAGTGAATACTGGGAGGCAAAGAGTTGTGTATGTATCAGGGATGAGGGTAGGAGGAGAAAGTGGGGAGATTGCTGCCTGTCAAGTTGCTAATACAGAAAGATCTGCAGTGTCACAGTGTCCTAGGTAGAGGAAAAACTTACACAACTAAAACAGTATAGTAATGATAATTTAGCTAATGTTTACTAAGGGCTAGCTATGACTTGTTTCTTTCATTTATTATTTTGTTTGATCCTTACGATAGTCCTGAGGTTGGCACTGTTAGTCCCATTTCACAGCTGGGTAAAATGAGAGCTTAAGTCATTTGCTCCATTTCCATCATCTTATGTGATCTCCTAGCAATCCTGGGAGGTGGTTGGCCTCATTTACAGAAGAGGAAACTGAGGGGCAAGAAGTCAAGCTGGCATGAACCTCTTCAGTCAGTGAGGACTCTGAGCCCTGTGTTTTACCTCCAAGATTTGCCGTTCTAATGGGTGTGACCCTGATGTTTGAGAAGAGGGCCCAAGAGGTGCCCAGATGGGATGTTAGGGACTCTTACTTTCCTGGGTCAGCTCTGGTCCCTGTGCCCTCCTTTTTCTCTTGGTGCAGCCTCCAAGTACACCAAGGTGGAGCCTCTGAGCCTCCGGGAGCGACTGGCTCGCATCAATACACACACCCTCTCCAAGAAGACCACCCGACTGAGCCAGCTGCTGAAGCAGGAGGCGGGGCTCGTTCCCAGGGTGAGCAACGGACTGGAGGAAGGGTTGCATGCCATCCATCCCAGGTGGCAAGACGGTGCGGTGGTGAGGCGGAGTCTTAGACTGCTTTCAGAGATGAGGAGACTGAGACCAGGAAGGGGCAGAGTAGGCACCCTCACTTGATTCTTTTGTTTTAAGTTTGCTAGTTTTTTAAAGATTTTTTGTTGTGGACCATTTTTAAAGTCTTTGTTTGAATTTATTTCAATATTGCTTCTTTGTTATGTCCTGGAATTTTGGCCACAAGGCATGTGGGATCTTGGCTTCCTGTTCAGTTCAGTTCAGTCGCTCAGTTGTGTCCGACTCTTTGCAAATGCATGGACTGCAGCACACCAGGCCTCCCTGTCCATCACCAACTTCCGGAGTTTACTCAAACTCATGTCCATTGAGTCAGTGATGCTTTCCAACCATCTCATCCTCTGTCATCCCCTTCTCCTCCTGCCTTCAATCTTTCCTAGCAGCAGCATCAGGGTCTTTTCAAATGTGTCAGTTCTTTGCATCAGGTGGCCAAGGATTGGAGTTTCAGCTTCAGCATCAGTCCTTCCAGTGAGTATTCAGGATTGATTTCCTTTCGGATGGACTGGTTGGATCTCCTTACTGTCCAAGGTACTCTCAAGAGTCTTCTCCAACACTAAAGTTCAAAAGCATAAATTCTTCAGTGCTCAGCTTTCTTTATAGTCCAACTCTCACATCCCTACATGACTACTGGAAACACCATAGCTTTGATTAGATGGACCTTTGTTGGCAAAGTAAAGTCTCTGCTTTTTAATATGCTGTCTAGGTTGGTCATAACTTTTCTTCCAAGGAATAAGTGTCTTTTAATTTCATGGCTGCAATCACCGAATGCAGTGATTTTGGAGCCCAAAAAATAAAGTCTGTCACTGTTTCCATTGTTTCCCCATCTATTTGCCATGAATTGATGGGACCGGATGCCATGATCTTAGTTTTCTGAATGTGGAATTTTAAGCCAACTTTTTCATTCTTCCTCTTTCACTTTCATCTAGAGGCTCTTTAGTTCTTCTTTGCTTTCTGCCATAAGGGTGGTGTCATCTGCATATCTGAGGTTATTGATATTTCTCCCGACAGTCTTGATTCCAGCTTGTGCTTCATCCAGCCCAGTGTTTCTCATGATGTACTCTGCATATAAGTTAAATAAGCAGGGTGATAATATACAGCCTTGACATACTCCTTTCCCGATTTGGAACCAATGTTTTGTTCCATGTCCAGTTCTAACTGTTGCTTCTTTACCTGCATACAGATTTCTTAGGAGGCAGGTCAAGTATTCTGGTATTCCTTTCTCTTTAAGAATTTCCCACAGTTTGTCATGATCCACACAGTCAAAGGCTTTGGCGTAGTAAATAAAGCAGAAGTAGATGTTTTTCTGGAACTCTCTTGCTTTTTTGATGACCCAACGGATGTTGGCAATTTGATCTCTGGTTCCTCTGCCTTTTCTAAATCCAGCTTGAACATCTGGAAGTTCACGGTTCAAGTACTGTTGAAGCCTGGCTTGGAGAATTTTAGCATTACTTTGCTAGCATATGAGATGAGATTCTTTGGCATTGCCTTTCTTTGGGATTGAAATGAAAACTGGCCTTTTCCAGTCCTGCGGCCACTGCTGTTTTCCAAATTTGCTGACATATTGAGTGCAGCACTTTCACAGCATCATCTTTTAGGATTTGAAGTAGCTCAGCTGGAATTCCACCACTTCCGCTAGCTTTGTTTGTAGTAATGCTTCTTAACCAGGAATCAAACCCACACCCCTGCACTGGAAGTTAATTAACAGTTCCTCCACTTGATTCTGAAGAGCCAGGGTGGGGCTTTCTCCTCTGCACCTTGTGCTGCTCTTTCTCCAGGGCCTCTTGATATAGGGGTGTGTGTGTGTGTTTTCTGTCACTCAGTTGTGTCTTTTCAACCTTATAGACTATAGCCCACCAGGCTTCTCTGTCAGTGGGATTCTCCAGGCAAGAATAATAGAATGGGTTGCCATTTCCTCCTCTGGGGGATCTTCCTGACCCAGGAATCAAACCTGAATCTCCTGTGTCTCCTGCCCTGCAGGCGGATTCTTTACCTTTTAGTCACCAGCAAAGCCCCTGGATACAGATAGGAGAGAACTTATGTCTGGGTCTGGGCAAGGAACCAGCCTTGAATAGCTACTAATAGAAACTTAGGTTGACTGAGTACTTATTCTGAACCAGGCATTAATGGTTCCACACGATTAAATGTGTAAATGTTCATATTATCTCCATGTTGCAGATGAGGAAACAGGCTCCAAGAGGGCAAAACACTTGCCTAAGGTCACACAGACAGGAAGCAAGTGAACCAGAGCTTGTGTGTCTGATTCCATGGTCTGAATACAAAACCACTAAGCCGCACTTACTGCCTCTAACCATCCCACTCAGTTTGGGGACTGGAGAAATGGCTCTGATGCGCGGGTCTGTGGAAAGGTGTATGTGGGTGGTTCCTAGCGAGGACTTGGGACGGAGGTGTACACTACCCCACGTGGATGCTCTCGGCCCTCCTAAGCGTAACTTTACTCTCAGACGGAAGACAAGGAATTTGATGACTTAGAAGAGAGGTTCCACTGGGTGTCGCTGTGTGTGACCGAGCTGAAGAGCAACATGGCTGCTTACCTGGACAATTTGGAGGTGAGGGCCCGGTGGTAAATAATAGGGGGGCGGGGCTGGGATACCTGGGCAGGTACATAGGGCCAATTGAACAAGCCCCTGACAAAGGCACCAGCTTCAAGAACCAATTGGAAGAGATCGTAACAGTTGCTGGTTGGAGGCCAGAGAAGGGCCGTGGGCAAGCACTCCCTTAATCCAGAGGTTATCCAGCTGGGGCAACTTCTGAGCTCACTGAGTGCTCAGGGACTGGGGTTCCCACTGGACAGAGTCAGATTCACGGGAAACAGAGTCCTCTGCAAGGACCCTGCCAGGCCGGCGCTAGAGCAGGTGCTCACAGGGACCAGGCAGGTAATATTATTGACTGAAGTGTATAGGTGTATAGGCCTATTGTCTATTTATGAGACTTTTATGGTAGAGTTCAATATGTAGTAATATTTGGAGTTTGAATGACTGAATAAATGCATAAATGAATAAAATAAAATAAAATGCCCTGTCTCACGTTGTTGCTGCATGGGAGTGTGGACCCACTGCTGCCTGTTCTTCTGATTTTAAGGAAGAAGAAAACTGAAAATTGAGACCTTTAGGTAAAATCTCATGATGTGTCCACATGAGCAACTAATTAAATAAGAGTCTAAATGTTATGTGGGCCCAAGAAAATACATTTCTGCAAGCCAGAATCAGCCTACAAGGACACCAGTTTGCATTCCCAACCAGCACATCACTTTCCTTGTGCCCAAATTCCCACTTCGTTCTTGTCATCGATGCTGACTCATTCCATCCACTCTGTCCCTTTTTCGTGGTTTTGTTCTCAGTCACATCCATTTGCACAGACCAGCTCAGTCAGATGATAACAGGCTCTTTGGATAATAGGATTTGGAGTGGCATTATTGGAAGTGTGTAGAAGAGAGGTCGTAGTTCTATGCTTTTCTGTGTTGGACACACCCCCTGCTTGTTCCTGCTCCATCTTGCCCCAGACTCCAAGGAAAGATAACAGCACAATGAGTGAGAAGGGGAAGGCCCTCAGGGAAAGAATGGAGGGGCCTTGAGAGGGAGAAACCAGAAGCCCCCAAGACACGTCTGGCTTTGCAGAGAATAACAGATACTTAGAAGCATTAAGGCTGCATTGCCCTGAATGCAGGATTTACATGACAGATACAGTGTTGACATGGAATCCCATAGCAAGAAATTGACTCTTTCTTTTAATCCTCAGAGTCCAGGAAAAGCCTCTTTTGCTGGCGTGTAAATAAACCAGCAGAACCAATCTCAGGCTGGAAGCCTTCAGCTGGCCATGACGCCCAGACAGAATTTAATAGCATTGTTTTCATAACAGTTATTCTTAACATGCTTATTTATGGCAATTATTACTGGCTTTCCCTTTGCTGCTGCTGCTAAGTTGCTTCAGTCGTGTCTGACTCTGTGCGACCCTGTAGATGGCAGCTCACCAGACTTCACCGTCCCTGGGATTCTCCAGGCAAGAACACTGGAGTTGGTTGCCATTTCCTTCTCCAATGCATGAAAGTGAAAAGTGAAAGTGAAGTCGCTCAGTTGTGTCCGACTCTTAGCGACCCCATGGACTGTAGCCTACCAGGCTCCTCCATCCATGGGATTTTCCAGGCCAGAGTACTGGAGTGGGGTGCCATTGCCTTCTCCGGGCTTTCCCTTTATGGAAGTATCATAAGGTGTTTTCTTTTGGCCATGCCATGCAGCTTGTGGGATCTTAGTTTCCTGACCAAGGATTGAACCCGGGCCCTTGGCAGTGAAAGCACGGACTCCTAACCACTAGACTGCCAGGGAATTCCCCATAAGGTGTTTTTGTTTGTTTGTTTGTTTTAATGCATTGATTTAAATAGGGATGCTAGGTTGATTTAAGGAAAAGTATTATTAGAACATGAGGAGCAGACATGGCAGAAAAAAAATTCACAAAGGTGATAACGAGAAGTGTGTGAATTGGAGGCAACACTGGAATAGGGAAAAAGATGTGGGCTTAGAGAAAGAACATTCTAATCATCCAAGTTGTGCAAGGATAGATTAGCTGTATGCAGACACTTGGAGGGTGTGCAGACAGCCTGGGCAACCTCTTCCGGGATGTCGTAGAGGGGCATTCAGGTGTGAGATGGTCTCAGTGGGCTCTCCTTTGACCCCCATCTAGGCTTTCCTCCGCTTCTGGCCCCAGGACTGCAATCTGGAAATCCCCGGGGGGCCTGTGGTACAGTACTGTTACCTGGCAAGAGACCTGCAGCTCCAGGCCTTCCCAGAGTTTGTGAGTGGAACTTCTCCCTTCTTTTTTTCAGTCACGTGGCAGAGTCTATAAGAATAATATTTAGAAGTGAGGCCCTTTCCTCGATGGTTACATCCATAACTGTCCTGGGTAGTCAGCAGGGTGGAGATTATTATTAGTGCATTTTCCTGATAAAAATAGTGCCAGCTAATGTTTATTGAGCCATGTTATCTGCCAAGCACTGTGCTAAAGTCTTTACATTCTTTACTCATTTAATCCTCACAACATAGCTTACAGGGTAAATACTGTTAACTCCATTCTGCAGATGAGGCTCAGAGAGGGTGACCTCCCAGGTTATTCAGATGATCAATGACAAGCTAGGATCTTAGCCCCAAGGACTATGGTTTTGATCACCATCCTATACAAAATTTTTTCAACATCTCTGCACAGTAAGCATATTAAGAAGTGACATATATTGAATACTCATTCTGTGCCTCTGCTAAGCTTGTTACATGCATTGTCCTCATTTCTCAGATGGGCACCTTGAGGCTCAGAAAAGTTAGATATCATGCTAGAGGTCACAGCTGTTCAGTGAGAATGGCACTGGAGCCTCCCTCCAAAGCACCTTCTTCCCGTGGCCACCCTCTGCCACTTCCTTCTTCAACTCCCATGCTCACCTCTTCCCACAGAAGCAGCAGCTGGAAGCCCAGGTGTGGCAGCCATTGTGCAGCCTGGCCAAAACCTTGGCAGGCCCTCAGAACCTGATCAAGAAGCGTCTGGACAAACTACTGGACTTTGAGAGGGTGGAAGAGAAGCTGTTGGAGGTGGGCAGCGTGACCTACGAGGAGGAGGCAGCCCGGCACACGTACCAGGCACTCAACTCCCTGCTAGTGGCTGAACTCCCACAGTTTAACCAGCTGGCTATGCGGTGGCTCGGCCAGATCCTCTGCACATTTGTGACTCTCCAGAGGGACCTTGCAAAGCAAGTGCTTCAGAGGGCAGAGGACAGCTTGGCCCAGGTAAGGCCTCTGGGACTGGGGTACATCTGGGAAATTGCCTGGCTGGGCCTCCTCATCCCTTCAGCTGGTTGAATGGGCTGGGGTGGAGTGAAGATGGACCTCTCAAACAGGCTACCAGGTGCCCAGGAGGAGGCCATGGGGACCTTCTGGATCTCTCTCATGCCTATTTTCCCTCCGTTAATAGAGTCAGACCATGGCAGCAAGGGTAGTATAGAACTGGGACTTTAGGCCACTTGCAGGCTCTGGGACTCAGAAACACAGGAGGCTCGCTTGGGAAAATAACAGGCTTGGGGCCATTCTCTGGAGCGTATTAGAAGCAGGTGACAAGAGACAGGGCCCCTTCTACACAGTCGGGAGTAAATGCTTCAAGCTGGTGTTCCTGCCCCTGCTACTACTTCTAGCAGCCATCTGCCTGTGAGCCCTTACTGCGCACTGGGTTTGGAACACTTTCCATATATTGTCTCACTTAATCCTCACAATAACCCCACAGAGTAGGTATTGTTATTATTCTCATTTCAAAATGAAGCCAGGACCACAGATGTTAAGCAGCTTGCCCAAGCCGTGTAGCTCATGGCTAAATTTAAATCCTGGCAGGTGAACTCTAGAGCCTGAACCACAATGCCTGACAGCCTGTTAAAAACAGCCATCTGCTGAAAGCATAAATAGGGCACAGAGAGGTTTAAACAAATCTCTAAGTGTAAACTTTGATTTTAGAATTTTGAAGACTGGGGTTGGTATAGGAAAGAACACTCAACTTTTCTTCAGTCTCTCTCTGATAGCAGCATCAGAGCTCAGTGGCCTGTGGGTCTAAGCTCTAGAGAAATGTCAGTGTTGCTCGTTCCACATGGTGCTTCCTGTGCCTCAGTGCTCCAGCTCAGCTTTCTCCATCCAGTTTATTGCATAAAAATCCCACTGAAATTTTCCACCCCCCACCCTTATCACTGTGTGATACCACTTTGACTGTGGGGATCACAACAAACTGTGGAAAATTCTTAAAGAGATGGGAATACTAGACCACCTGACCTGCCTCCTGAGAAATCTGTCAAGAAGCAACAACAGGTAAAACCGGACATGGAACAACAGACTGGTTCTAAATTGGGAAAGGAGTAAGTCAAGGCTGTATATTGTCACCCTGCTTATTTAACTTATATGCAGAATACATCATGTGAAATGCCGGGCTGGATGAAGCAGAAGCTGGAGTCAAGATTGCTGGGAGAAATATCAATAACCTCAGATATGCAGATGACACTACCCTTACGGCAGAAAGTGAAGAGGAACTGAGGAGCCTTTTGATGAAAGGGAAAGAGGAGAGTAAAAAAGCTGCCTTAAAACTCAACATTCAGAAAACTAAGATCATGGCATCTGGTTCCATCAATTCATGGCAAATAGATGGGGAAACAATGGAAACACTGACAGACTTTATTTTCTTGGACTCCAAAATCAGTGCAGATTTTGTGACTGCAGCCATTAGTTAAAAGACGAAATTAAAAGACACTTGCTCCTTGGAAGAAAAACTATGACCAACCTAGACAGCATACTAAAAAGCAGAGACATTACTTTTCCAACAAAGGTCTGTCTAGTCAAAGCTATGGTGTTTCCAGTAGTCATGTAGGGATGTGAGAGTTGGACTCTAAAGAAAGCTGAGTGCCCAAGAATTGATGCTTTTGAACTGTGGTGTTGGAGGAGACTCTTGACAGTCCCTTGGACTGCAAAGAGATCAAACAGTCCATCCTAAAGGAAATCAGCCCTGAATATTTGTTGGAAGGACTGATGCTGAAGCTGAAACTCCAGTACTTTGGCCACCTGATGCAAAGAACTGACTCACTAGAAAAGACCCCAATGCTGGGAAATATTTCAGGTAGCAGGAGAAGGGGATGACAGAGGATGAGATGGTTGGATGGCATCACTGACTTGATGAACATGAGTTTGAGCAAGCTCCATGAGTTGGTGATGGACAGGGAAGCCTGGCCTGCTGCAGTCCATGGGATCACAAAGAGTCGGACACGACTGAGCAACTGAACGCTTACCACTACCTTCCCAGCCCATAGTCTCACTCTGCGACTGCAGCCTCCCACCACTTCTGAGTATGATCACAGCCACTTTGCATAGACTCCTTCTTCAGCCTAGAATGTCCCTCCCATCTCCCCCATACCTTTCACAGTGCCTGACATGTGGTAGTGAGTGAGTGAGTGAAGTTGCTCAGTCGTGTCCGACTCTTTGCGACCCCATGGACACCAGGCTCCTCCGTCCATGGGATTTTCTGGGCACGAGTACTGGAGTGGGTTGCCATTTCCTTCTCCAGGGAATCTTCCCAAACCAGGGATCTAACCCAGGTCTCCTGCATTGTAGACAGACGCTTTACCATCTGAGCCACCAGGGACATGTGATAAGACCTCCACAAATAAGGGACGAATGAATCTCTCCATGAAGCTCTCAGAATCCCCTTTCTCTAGGGGGGAGAACCCATCTCTCCATCCTCTGTACTCCAGAAGCTCTCAGGATGTGCTTCTCTTAAGCTCTTATCAGAGCCTGCATCCTGCTGGGGTGATGGATGAAGCTGTTTCCCCTCATTAAGCTTCTCTTCTTTTTGGCCCTCATAGCATTTAGTAGAGAGTCCTGTCCTCAGACACTTTTTGTTTTGTTTTTTGATGGGTACATCAACTTTTTTTTCTTCTTTTTTTTTTTTTCATTTATTTTTATTAGTTGGAGGCTAATTACTTTACAATATTTTAGTGGTTTTTGCCATACATTGACATGAATCAGCCATGGATTTACATGTGTTTCCCATCCTGATCCCCCCTCCCACCTCCCTGCCCATCCCATCCCTCTGTGTCTTCCCAGTGCACCAGCCCTGAGGACTTGTCTCATGCATCCAACCTGGGATGGTGGTCAGACACTGTTTTTGAATTAAGCCCAAACCATCTGCAAAAAGAAGCATTTCTCTTTCCTGAAGGCAGAGGGTAAATCTGATCAGATAATCTTCTCATTCTCTTCTCACCCTCTAGTCTTCCATCTGGGGCAGCCAGACCCTCTTGTATTTACACTGGGCTATGCAGGGCTAGGGAGAAGGAAATGGCAACCCATTCCAGTATTCTTGCCTGGAAAATCCCATGGACTGAGGATCCTGGTAGGCTATAGTCCATAGGATCGCAAAGAGTCAGACACGACTGAGCAACTTCACTTCACTTCATGCAGGGCTAGAGTTGACTTATTGGAAAAGACCCTGATGCTGGGAGGGATTGGGGGCAGGAGGAGAAGGGGACAACAGAGGATAAGATGGCTGGATAGCATCACCGACTCGATGGGCATGAGTTTGAGTAAACTCTGGGAGCTGGTGATGGACAGGGAGGCCTGGCGTGCTGCAATTCATGGGATCACACGACTGAGCAACTGAACTGGACTGAACTGAATGAACTGAATGCAGGCTGGGGAGTATTCTAGGATACTGTAGTGGGGAGGTCAACTTCATAAGAGCAGAAAGAGGGCATTTCTTTTTTTCTTTTTTTGACTGTGTTATGTGGCATTTGAGTTCCCCCACCAGAGATTGAACTTGTGCCCCCTGCATTGGGAGCACTGAGTCTTAACCACTGGACCACCATGGAAGTCTCAGAAAGAGGGCATTTCTTGATTGATCTTGTAATATAGAATCTTAGGGCCTGTTAATGATTGAATACAGCTTCCTGTGTCCCATGTCCCATTCTCCTGGAAAGTCCTCTGGAACCTGGGAAAGGCCCACATGGTAGAACCTCAATCTCTCTGCATCCTGGGGGCAGAGGAAAGGCCCTGGTGGTTTTGGTGACCAGCAGAGAGGACATGTCTCTGTTAGCTGTGGGGCCGTGGTCACTTCTAGACTGTCTGATGAAAATGCAAGAGTTGCCCAGCAGGGCCAAGGTCCCAGGATGGAGCATCGCTCAGAACTCCTTGGGCTCCAAACCAGCTTAGGCATAAAGAACACTTATACAATTGTATAACTGGGAGACCCAACAAACAATGTTGTTGAGGCTCTGGCTTTCACTGCATCTCCTGGCTGTTTCCCTCTCTGGGTTGGCTTTATTGTCAAGCAGGCATTTTCTGCAAGTTGGGAGAGAGTGGCTCTCAACAGCTCCAAGTGTTTGCCTTAACATCTCAGGATCTAAAAGAAGAATCACCCTGTCACTCACAGCCTTCATGTACTAAATCTGATGGGAAGATTCTGATTGGCCTTGCTCTAGTCCACTGTCCACTCCTTGACCAATCACGAGAGATAAGAAAAGGGAAGCTGTGACTGCCAGTCTTGTGTCCAGGCACCAGGAGGGACAATACCACTGGACCCCTGTAGAGGAATGCTTTCATAAAGGAAGGTGGGGCAGTACCCAGGCCAAACCAGGACAAAGACATAAAGGCCTATCCTAACAGCTGGGGCTGGAGTGTGGCTGTCAGGGTCTCCCTGACAGAGAGGTCTCCTCTCTGCCAAGGAGGGCTCTGATGACAGTGTCTGTGCTCCCCAGCTCCCCCACCACCACCTGTCTGAGCCGGCCTTCAGGAAGCTGGTGGAGGATGCACTAGGCCAGACCAGTCACCAGCTTCACTCCTTTCAAGAGAACTTCGAGAAAGTGCTGCCACCTCCCACCACACAAGTAAGTGTCCCTCCTTCCCCCTCAAAGACTGTCCAGTCCTTCACCTGCCAGTGGGGTGAGATCAGCCCCCTATTTCCTTCCTCTTTTCTTTTCCCAATTGTCCCCTGTTACCCCAGAAACACGTTGCCTTTCCCTCTCTCCTTTCTGTGACCTGGGGATGAGGGTGGGGTGGAAATCTCTCTCTCTCTCTCTCTCACACACACACACACACACACACATTCTCTTCATGGTTGATAAGTATAAAATCTGGTTAAGAAGATAACCTAAACATTTTGCTCTTAATGACATCATAACAGGCAAGTGGCATTAACACCTTGAAACCTGCAACTTCTTCAGATTTTTCAGCAAAATTAACCTTGTTTCCTTATCACTTTCTCATAGAACTTGCTTCAAATACAAGCATTCAGGATAAATAAAATGTTTGAACTAGAAGAATTTAGATTTTCTTTTTGCTATGAAAGTTTTAATTGCAAAAGACAGTGTTTCAGCTGCATTGTGGTTGACAGAACTTTGGCTGGCCAAAGGCTTTTTTGGGTGGTAAAATAGTTTTCCTCTAAAATATAATGGAAGGATATCTTGCAGTCCACTTGAAGAATTCTTCAAGAATATATAAAATGATGGAGTAGGATGGGCGGAGTGGGAAGGAGATTCAAGAGGGAGGGAATATATGTACACTTACAGCGGATACACATTGTTGTACAGCAAAAATCAACACAATATTATCAAGCAGTTATCTTCCAATTAAACATAAAGACAAAACCATAAAAAAGAATAAAATCAGCCTAATACTTTTAAAAAGATATATAAACTTTAAAAAATCTTTAAAAGAATATATAAAATATCATGTATGTTTTAGTAATTGAAGTAGCTGAAGGGCAAAGAGGCTCTCAGAGTATGATGAAACCTGGGTTTGAGAAAACTGAAACTATATTCAGTCACATGTGAGATGTGACGTGAGGGTCAGGAGACAGGTCCAAGATTCCCCCAAAGGGAGGAGGGGGCCCAAGAGACATGGGGGGAACATTAAAGGAGCCCAGAAGAACTTTGCAGAGACAGGTGGCCTTTGCACCTGACCAGAGCATAGAGGATGTCAAAGAGCATCAGAGGGGTATGTGCACTTCAAGTGGGGTGGCCTCCACCTGGGAGTGAGCTGTCCCCACTTCGTTGCCCACACTGAGACGCCCAGCAGAGGACTCACTGGGGCTGTTACATGGGCTCTGCCACCCGAGGGGAGGAAGGGTGAAGGAAATCAAGACCAGAGCGGCCACTCAGATGAGCTGTGGAAACTTCTATCTTTTTCTACTTAAGACAAAATAACATTTTTTCTTATTGGAAAAACAGGCCATGGTGATTGCAGGAAAAAGAAGAGAAGATACATAAAAATAGAAAGAAATGGGAACATCTTAGTCCTGATGTGTGGCAGATCGGTAGGAAGAGAAGGAACTCCCATGACCCCAGCCCCACCCCCAGCTTCCCCATCTCTCCTCTCATGTATCCCTGCAGCACACACACAGATACACAGACACACACCTTCCTATAAATTCCTGACTTATTTGGCTACGGGTACAGATCCCAGAGGAATGGGGTCACCCCCCAGGACATGAGAGTACCAGTGCGATCTTTGCAGGCCTCCCCAGTGCCTCCAGGGAGTACTGCTGTTCTTCGCACAGGGAGGGGCAGAGACTTGAGAAAGAAGACAAACGTTTGCTACCCCATACTTGCATTAACACCACCATTCTAAAAAAGAGCTACTGTGTCTCTACACTTTTGTTTGTGGGCCTATTTAGAAACCTGGGATTCTCTTGGTTCTTGATCCTGATTCAGGAACCTGTTGGAGGTAAGGGAGATGGCAGAGTCCATGCCCAAGTGTCCCTGACGGGCATCTCTGCCTACCTCCCTACACCTAGCACCTCTCCACCTGGAAATCACCATATAGAGTATAGTGAATATATGTCCATCCATATATATCTAGTGAGAGAGAATATATAATAAATCTATATTCAATATTTTTAGCTTCTTTGTTTTACAAAAGGGGACAATCTCCTGAGTCCCTTCTTGTTAATACTTTAGTTGGAAGCAGTGAATGAAAAAACAAAGACAGTGCCAAATTTCTAGATGCTCTGAAAATGCACTGAATCATTCTCCTTAGCTAGATGGCAATTTCCATTAAGGAAAAACTCTGTTGTCATTCACAGGGCTTACCGTGCCTTGTAAATGGTAGGGGGCTCAATAAAGGCTTGTGGACTCAAAACCCATGGAATAAAACCCTGAATTCCCTTCGTTCACCCATGTGTGAGGGGTCTACATGTGTCAGCCCTGTGCTGGCTATTTAAGATCCCAGGTGAGTAAGAGCTGGTGCTGACATGACACTTATAGTCTTGCTCACTGGTGTTGAAAGATGTGTGTAAGGCATTTTCCTGTGGGACAGCTTAGCTTAATGCTGTGGGCAGAATTTAGGGCCCAGTCCTGGAATTCTGTAGCTGGGAGATTCAGAAACTGACTTAGGATTTTAGAAATCCCAAGAAATTGAGACCAGAGAAGGATTTTAGAAGCTTCTTCTCAAATGCCTTTCTTCTGAATGCATTTCTTCTGAAATGCCTTTGGATACTAAGAGCATGTGTTTCTCATCTGATCCATCCATTTGTTGTTGAGGAGGCTGTTGCCCTGGCTGGGATGGGTCTATGGGGAGCAGAGGTGGACTTGGCCCAGGACTCCTGGCTGTCAGCATGTCGGCCAGCACTGCTGTTAGCTTTAACCCTCCAGCTCCAGCACTGTTGTCTGTCTTTCTCCCTCTCCCAGCCACTCCTTCCAGGGGCTGAACGCCAGGTGCAGGCGCTCCTGAGCAAGTATGGCCCGGGAAAGTTGTACCAGGTGACAAGCAACGTCAGCGGGGCTGGGACTCTGGACCTGACCCTGCCTCGGGGCCACATCGTAGCCCTCCTTCAAAACAAGGACACCAAAGGCAACAGCAGCCGATGGCTGGTGGACACTGGAGGTACATGGGACTTCAGGGGGCACTTCCCCGCCCTTTGGGAAAACCACCCAATGAGAGCCAGTGGGGAGACACGGGCGCTCTTGTGAGTGGGGTCTGGCTATGCAGATCCAGGCTGGGAATGAACACAGGTGAACTTGGAGGGCTTGGGGACATAGCCAGCTTAGTGTGGTGTATGAGATGCTAAAAAGAGAAGTTGTTTTATGTTGCAACATCCGTATCAAACACCTCCTATGTGCTGGGCACTGTGTAAGGAAGGCAGGGACTCACAAGGACTCTGCCTTGGGGACCTCACAAGTCACTGGTGTAGACACAGTTCTGTGGATCACCTTGAAGAATGGCAATGCGTGGAGAAGGAACACTTGGATCCCAACTGTAGGGACAGAAGTCTGACATTGAGAATGAAGTTGATGTTATCCTGCTCCCTCTGCTCTGGTCAGGTCCCTGGGTGTGCTGCTCAGATGTGGGTGCCCCAGGAGACATCAGGGCAGGAAGCAAGGGGCACCATGAACCCAGGACGAGATGCCCCAGCATCTCCACTGAGGGGCATGTGATCCACAGATGATGGTTACACAAGACTATTGGGAGGGGATCTGCAGACAGTTTTCCCCACTTCAGATACTTTATTTTAATTTAGTATTTTAATGTTTATTAGAAAAAATATAACTAGTACAGAAACCCATGATTTTATTCATTGTTATCAATGTATAGTACAACACTTAAGTTTTGAAAAGTGAGTTTATTAAATAATTAAGATGGTACAGATCTGGCAAAAATCATAAAAAGGGAAACTCTGGACTCTAGTTGAAAAACTTGAGCTGGATGAAGATTAAAACAAGGCTCCTGCAGTCAAGAAGACCAGGTTTGGATCCCAACTCAGCACTTTACTAACTGCATGATCCTGGAGGAGTTATGGAGCCTCTCTGAGCCCTGTTGGTTCAGCAATAAAATGGAGATAACAATACTGACCTTGAGAGCTGATATGAAGACTAAGTGGTCCCGTGCAGTTGAGCACCAGGCAAGCTCTCAGAAGGTGACAGCCATTCACAGTAACAGCAGCCAGAACACCCCTGGGGTAGCTGTTACAAGAAGGGACTGGGGGCACTTGGAGAAGGGAAAGGCAATTTCTGCCTCCTGGGAAGGCAGTCCTGCAGTGAGGAGTAGCCTTGCTTGGACAGGGGACCAGAGGTGCCAGCACCAGGGAAACAGTTTTCATTCCAGTCCAAGGAAGAACTTTTTGTCTCTGCCAGAGCTGTTCCAAATGAACTGGGTTGCCTCTGTGGGGAATGAGCTCCTGTCACTGGGGCAAACAAGCAGAAGCTAGAGAGAGTGAGAGCAGGGTGGGGTGAGTGGTTTTGTGAGGTTCTGAGATGACTTTTCAAGGTCCTCTGTAGTGCTGAGAAGCTGTATTGGAGGCAGTCACATCCATGAATGGCAGTGACTTCCTCTACCACTGAAAGGGGCGATCCACAGCCAGATAACATTCTGTATGTCCTGCAGGACATCGAGGGTACGTGCCAGCTGGAAAACTGGAGGTGTACCACGTGGTCCCCAGTGAGGAGGAGCTCAGAGGGCAGGCGAGGCCTCACAGAGACTTCCAACATCAGACACCAGAGTCCACCTCAGCCCCGGTCCCCTCTGTCCCAACTGTGACCCAGGTGAGCCTAGAAGAGGGGTGGGGGCCATTTGGAGCAGGGCTTTGATTTTCCTCCTGTCAGGAGGAGTTACCACCCTGTGCAGTGGCCACACCAGTGTCCTGGCCAGGTGTGTACCTAGAGAAAGGGGACTCTCATCCCTGCCATTTCAAGAGGAGAGCTAATCCTTTACTCTCCAGTAAGCAGAACAAGTGGGATTATTTCATTCATTCATTTATTCATGCATTCATTATTCAGTATACGCCAGGCACTGTGTTAGATGAGAGATACAGTGATAAGCAGAGGTCAACTTTGGCCCTTGCCTTCCTCAAATTTATAATCTAGGAGGTAGGGGAAACAGTGATTAATAAAATAATCATATAAATGATCTCAAATTTCTATTAGTGGTAGGTGCCAGAGCCTTAAGTGAGGGAGAGGATTAGGGAAGGTTTTTCTGAAAAGAATCATGCTTTTGTTCAGATTTGAAGGATGAATAGGAAGTAATTGGATAAAGGGGTGTGAATGGGAAGAACTTCCCTGAAAACATGCCCAGCAAATGCAAAGCCCAGGGCTGGGGAGGACACGGTTAGTAAGGAACTGAGTGGAGCCAGCAAGATAGGGGCAGTGAAGTGCTGTTGAAGAGGTGGGGTGGGGCCAGCCACTGGGGCCTGTGGCCTTGCCAAGGGTGTTGATCTTTCTCATAAAATGCCATGGGAAACTTGTACATGTATGTTCATCGCAGCATTATTCATAACGGCCCCTAAGTGGAAACAACCTATGTCCATCAACTGATGAAAGAATAAACAAAATCTGGCATATCCATGCAATTTCAAATATTATACAGCCAAGAGAAAGAATGACGTTCTGACACATGCTACCACACGTAGCTCGATACAGAAGACCATGTAATGTGTGATTCTCTATTCAAAATGTGTAGGATAGGCAGTTACACTGGGACAGAAAGTAGATCAGTGGTTGTCAGGGGCTAGGGGCAAGGGGAGTGGAAAGTGACTGCTAAGCGGTCTAGGGTCTCTTTGGGATGATGAAGATGTTCTGGAATTACATAATGATGGTGGTGGCAAAACCTTGAGAACATACTAAAAACTACTGAATTGTACACTTTGAAAGGGTAGAGTGTGTGTATGTGAATTATATCTCAAAACAAAATGTAATGGGAAGGCTTTGCAGAGCCAAATCCTAGGGGGGGAAGAAGGTTAGTGAGGTCACTGTGAGGGTTGATTTAGGTAGTTAGCGGCTGGCACGTGGGAGCATCAGTAAATGGAGGCAGCACGCACAGTTATGGAGGAGGAGCTTCAAAGGTGATGAATGAGCAGCAGAAAGGACCCAGGCCCAGGGGCAGGGGCCCAGAGGCTTGCAGTGAATAGTTGGGGAGCCTGGAATGGGCTGAGGGAGGGCTGCATAGAAGCCCATGGAAACTGTGATGTACAGCTCTGGCACGTGCTGAGAAGTTTCTCAGGCCAGTGCCAGGAGAATTAGCTAGAAGTGCTACACCAGGGCTGCCTCCAGCTAGACACACCCACCCATCAACAAAGGACCCACAAGGGTCCCACAAGGGAGCCTGGCCACCCAACTCAACCCCATCGCCAGCCAGTGTGCATGGTGTCCCCAGAACCCTCACCTAGGGGCTCATGTGGAGAGCTCAGCTGTCCATCAGCCCAGAGACATCAGCTGCTTCCTCTTTGTGCCTCTGCTCAGTGGGACTCACATGGGGTCATTCCAGTCCCCTGTTGCCTCTGACTGTTCATGGCCCATAGTAATAAAAATCATGGTAGGGGCTTCCCTAGTGGCTCAGTGGTAAAGAATCCGCCTGCCAGTGCAGGAGACACAGGTGTGACCCCTGACCCGGGAAGATCCCACATGCCATGAGGTAGCTGAGCTCATGCACCACAACTGTTGAGCCTGTGCTCTGGAGCTCGGAAGCCACAACCACTGAAGCCTGCACATCCTAGGGCCCGTGCTCTGCAATAAGAGAAGCCACCTCCACGAGAAGTTCACATGCCACAACTAGAGAAACAAAGCAACTAGAGAAAACTGCAGCAACAAAAGACCCAGCGCAGCCAAAAAAAAAAAAAAAGTCGTGGTAAAAATAAGTGAAGCAGCAAATTCCCTGGTCATCCAGTGGTTAGAACTCGGCACTTTCACTCATTAGGCCTGGGTTCCATCTCTCGTCAGAGAACTGAGATCCCTCAAGCTGCATGGCACGGCCAAAATAATAATAATAATAATAATATTATTATTATTAATATTATTAACAAAGCAGCCTGCATTTGTTGAGCCCTTACTATGTACCAGGCACAGGCATTCATCCATTAAGTTCCCACAATTATCTGGAGGGAAGGATATCATCCTTCCATTTTACAGATGATGAAACTGAGGCCCAGGGAGGTAAAATATCAGCCTAAGTGCCCTCCCCTCCATTATTTTTTTTGGGGGGGACCCTTTCCCTAAAAAGTAACAGAGTTGCCCAACCATCCCTCCTGCCTCTACACCAAGCTGGGAAATTGGCCTGGACAGATGACACCCTTGGATCTGAGGAGGGTAGTGAGGAAGGGACTCTGAGTCTTCTTCTCAGTAGGATGGCAGCAGTGGGCTGAGAGCACCCCTCCTGAGGTCAGACAGGTCAGTGTCACTGCTGTGTGATTTTGAATTAGTTCCTTGACGTCTCTGAGTCTTAATTTCCTTATCTGAAAAAAGGAGGAAATAGAATTATAGAACTGTGAAAACCAAAACCAGACAAAGAGCCTGCCATCCAGTAGGTATTAGCAGAGTGGAGGTAGCTGACATCTTTGGTCAAAGGATGCATTTGGGAGGCATTGACTGCCCAGCTACTGAGTCAGGTGGCAGGGAAGAGGGTAAACAGCTTCTCTGGGTTGGGTTTGTCTGTCCTCTCAGCCTGACCACTTCTGTGTCGTTCCCCATGTGTTTCAGGTGGTGGCCATGTACCCCTTCGTGGCCAGAAGCAGCCATGAAGTGAGTCTGCAGGCAGGCCAGCGGGTGACTGTGCTGGAGGCCCAGGACAAGAAGGGGAACCCAGAATGGAGCCTCGTGGAAGTGAACGGACAGAGGGGCTACGTGCCTTCCAGCTTCCTGGCCAGGGCCCCAAGTCCAGCTCCATGGGGCTGGAGTTTGCCTTCTTAGGGTGCCCTCCTTAATGTCCATGTTCCAGGAGGGTTAGAAGCTGTGACCCTGGGAAGGAAAGGAAGCAAAGTTGGGGGTGGATAGGGAGATCAGGTTAGGGCGGGGTGAAGGGCACAGAGAAGGTAGCCGGAAGAGGGAAATGAGCCTTTTGAAACGCCCAGTGTGTGTGGGCATGAAAGGCCCCAGCCAGGGCAGCTCATTATGTCTGCCTGGAGAGGGCGTTTCAACCTGAGTCACAGCACCCTGGATGGCAGGTCCCAGCTGATGCACCAGGATTTGCTTGTGGCCGGTCTTACCTGTGCTCATGCCCCAGCCTGTCCATGGGAGTGGGTCACCTAGATGAGCATTACCTGTGTGCTGTGTGGTTGCATGGAGGGCCCCTGGAGAGTCCAGAACTGCCTGGCTTGACAGCTAACTTCCTTCCTGTGATATAGAGACACCATAGCTGACCAGTTGGCTTTTATTTCTCCACAGTGGGAGCTGAATTACCTTAGGCAGTGAACACACAGGAACCCTCTCTAGCAGGGAGCGAGGGCTTGTCAGGGCAGTAGAAAGGTTCCCAGGAGTCTTTTGGCTGGGCCTGGAGTGGGTGTGAGCAAGTCACAATTCTGGAATGTGTGTAGGCAAGTGCAGAGGCTGCTCCAGGGGAGAGGGGTTTTTGAGGGTGTGTTAGGTGGGGTGTATGAAGTTGTACAGTTGAGGTGTGTGTTAGGTTGGCAGCAGTTGTACACTGCTGCTGTGTTCTCTGGACTAGGGGACAAAGGGCCATGCAAATCTCAGAGGAAACTGTGAAGCAGGTAACTAAAGGCCTGGTGGGTGGGTTATGACTTGGTTTCCTGTTTCTGGAAGAAGGGGAGCCAGGGGAACCCCTGGTGGTTTCAGAAGGGTGCTTAAGGCCTGGAGGCCACAGTGGAGGTGATGTCAGTTGGCTGTGAAACCTCAGACATAGGACACAACCTCAGTTTTCACATCTATTAAGACCTAACCCAGGCTTGTGATGAGAATGAGGAGATGCCAAAGTTGTCGAAGCTCCTTGTAAATCATGAAGTGTGACATAATTGCAGGATGTGCAGAAAGTGGTCTCAGGATGGCCCCAGGCATCAACTGACCACTCTCCATGCCCATGGCCATGACCAACATTAATAATCAGTGTGGCATCCTTTCCTTTAAACCCATGATCCCTCCCACTGCTGCATTCTAGGTAACCAAACATTTGAACTTGGTGAGATCACATTAATTGTCATCCCTTTCTAGAACCTAGAAATTGAAGCCTCTCAAAAGAGTTCCTGTTCAAGGAAGACTGACCACTGGGGCAAATTTGGGTGCAGCAGCTGTTGGATCATCACTTCTAAGTTGTTGCTTTGGGCTCAGATAAGTTGCAAGATTCACAGGAGAGAGAAAAGGTGATTCAGTGTACCTTTTAAAACAAATGACAAATTTCAGAACAAATCCATTAGATTATGTGTAAAAACAGGTGGCAGTTTAGACTTAATTCCAAGAACATCTCTGTATTATAACTGTAGTGCCTAAAATTGTTAGCTCTGGTTTTTGGAGAACATTTAATAAGTGTATACATGTCTGTGTCAGGCAGTCTGTAACTTACCTCCTCTGGGCTTGTGAAAGCATGAAGGCTGCATACATAATGCAAGAGAAACTCAGTCCCCACAACCTTTCACCCAGCACAAAATTAACTCTAAGATGCTTACGACTCATTTTCCTTTCTCTTCCCTGCTCAGATTTCTGATGCAAACAGGAAGCACAGGAGAGCAGGTAATAAAATAGGAAATCCAACTGTAGTAGAACCAATGTGGTTCTACAGTACTTTTGAGAGCCTACTATTTGCACTGGGGCAGCTTTCAACTATGACTAAAGCAAGGTTCCCATTCAGAGATGCTGATGCAATTTGTCTGGAGTGTGGCCCAGCCTCAGGAATTCAGAGAGCTCCTCAGGTACTTCCAGTGTGTGGCCAGGGTTGGGGATCTCTGCCCTGGACACACAGTGCTGGTCAAGATAGACCTGGGGTCAGAAATGGTCACAAGCTCTGACTAGGGATGTGCCCCATCCGAACTTTGTACTTGCTGAGATGCTTTAAACAGAAAGCTTGAGAGGACGTTTGAATCAGGACAGCCTGTTCTTTCAGGTCCTAGAATGTATATTTATTAAGTGCCATTAAAAGGGACCTGAACAAAACTGGATGTTCTTGTAGGCATAAGGGAGGAAACCAAAATATACTTGGAACCAAATCTATCTCACGAAGATAAAAATGTATTCAGTAACACATGGGTTGTGGTTTTTCATAACCCATGAGATTAAAAGTCACTGAAGGGTGAGGAAATGCACAACTGAGAATATGGAGAATGGCCTGAATTTTCTCCAGAGGACTCGGCGTAATGTGCCTTTCCCCTCCAGATGCCTAGAACCATTGCACTGTGTCTTATTTATTTCAATGCTGGGCCATCACACATATTAGACTTGCAAAGGTATTTGCCTGTGACTTGAACAACACTTCCAAGAGTTGAAGACTGATTCACGAGGGTGCCCCTTGCTCCCTGCAATGGAGTTTAACCTTTTGGGCACCAACCTAGTTTTAGACATGGGGACCAGATTACAATATCTGAATGCTCAAAAAAGATGAGCAAATTCTTGGTTAATGTGAGTTCTAGCTTGGTGAATAACTGATGTCAACTACTGGGAATAAAGGTCTTAAAGATGAAATGTTGCTGAAATTTGTGTGACTCTAACCATTTGGAGGGCCAGTCAGTGTGACCTTTGTTCACTAGATGCTTGCTATATATAAAAATGGCACCTCATTTATTCATGTGTTCGTTTAATGAGTGTTTACTGCATATCTTCAGTGCCTCCAGGAGTTGGCCTTGGCTGTTGGGGATGCAGTGAGAAATCCAAGATTGGGGCCCTGCCCTCCCAAAGCCTATAGTCTGATGAAGGAGGCAGGCAAGGCAACAGTTAAACACAGTGTTAGTTGTTATGGGTGATAATAGGTACCACCAGAGCCCAGGGGGAGGCCAGCCCCTGACTTAGACTTGGTGGCTAAGGAGGGCTTCCTGAAAGAAGTGATATCCAAGCTGACAGTAAATGGAATATAGATGAAGGTGGGAGGGAGGGCATGTCAAAGGTCCAGAGATAAGAGCAAGCGCAGCTCATCAGGGAACTGAAGTGCTGTAAGGCTGAAGCACATGGTGTGTGTAGGGGTGGTGGGTGCAGTGGGAGATGGCTTAGTGAGTTGTGCCTGGTAGGGAGCTTTGGGGTTTATTGTGAAGGCAGTCAGGGGGCACCAAAGGGTTTCAAGCAGCAGAGTGACACATGCGGGATTGTGGTTTAGGATACAAGTGCTAGTTCATCCCTGGATCTCCCTAAGCATCTGTCACATGCCTCAAGTTATAGATGTTCAATACACATTGCTAGATAATACCCAGATGGGATCGGAACACCTAAGCCTGCCTCCAAGTGTCTCCCATCCAGCTATAAAGGACATATGAGCATTAAGCAGTTACCTGGCACCACAAGGCAGAATGCTATCAGCCCCAGAAGTTGTTATGGCCCAGGCTTCTAGATGTTCAGACAAGGAGGAGCTTTGGGGATACTGAGGGGGTCAGGGAGGCTTTCTGGAGGAAGTGGGGCTGGTGCTAGGTTTGTGGATAAGTAGGATTGGGGAGCTCTCTGAGCCACCAGGCTTCCCTGGTACCTCAGTGGTAAAGAATCTGCCTGCAATGCGGGAGACCTGGCTTTGATTCCTGGGTTGGGAAGATCCCCTGGAGAAGGGCAAAGCTACCCACACCAGTGTTCTTACCTGCAGAATTCTATGGACAGAGGATCCTGGCAGGTTACAGTCCATAGCGTCTCAAAGAGTCAGACACAACTGAGTGATTAAGCACACAGGATTGGAGAAGGGGAAAGGGAAGACTTCTCAGGCCTAGGGAAGCAGCATCACGGTATAAGTGTCCAGCACTTGGTCTTAAAACCCCTGAGTTCAGGGCCTACCTGGCCATAGGCAAGTAGCAAACTCATTTACTACAAGTTTCTACATGTGAAGAAGTTTGATGAAGGTCCCCAACCTGCCCCTTGGTCTTCTGTTTTTCTTATCAGTAATTTTCAAACTTCCTTTTTCTGAGTCAGGGTGGGCACCTTTCCCATTCAGGGCAATCCCAGACATGGGCAGGAGTGTCCCAGATGTTTTTCTCATCTGTAGAGAGTGTACAATTCCTCTTCTCACAGGGCAAGTGAGATGACTGAAGGAAACACTTGTGAACAGTGGTTGATCACAATGGGAGCATCACTGCTGTGTAGTAAGGGAACTTATGAACTCTGATCGCTAGGTGGCAGCAGGGCTCTATCAGCTGAGATTGGGCCTGGAAGCGCCCCCAGTCAAATTGAAATACAGAGGCTGCCAGGCAGGTGGTGCAGATGGGAGGAAGGGCCAGGTGAAAGACCCTAGGGAGTGGCAGGGACTGTGATGGACCAGCGGGAACACACTGCAGCTACAGGAGCTTGCAGCTGCTCGGCTTCAGCCAGTGTTGCCACATCAGAATGAGGGCCGAGTGGTGCCAGGCATTCTGATTTTTCAAGAGAAGTCAAATACCAGGGTTTTGTTTTGTTTTTTTGATGTGAACTCTTCTGTGTGGAGATTGTGCAGGTCACGGAAGGTCCCCCTCTAGTACATCTTCTGCCAGAGTATGGGTTGGCTGCCCTGGTGGAGAATCTCCTCTGAAGAATTAGCTTCATGTCTATTTCCTGTGAAAGCCCTTCATGTGTCTCCACTTCACTCACTACTTCATCAGACATTAATTTTCCTTCCTTGGATCTCTGGGGAGCACCGTTCTCTTTTATGCTATTATTACTATTGTTGTCATCAAATTTCTGTTAGACTGTGGGTCATATTTTCTGACCATTCATGAGGATCTCCATAGTACCTATTTCACAAGGTTCTTTTGAGGAATAATTGAGCCAGGGCCTGGCTTATTAGTGCTCAATAAACATACTTATTAATATTATGGGGACATGAGGTGAGATGACATGACATTTGGAGAAAGGTTTGCAGGGCCTGTCTTTCTCTCAGTATGGGGGATGGTGACAGGGCCTGGCCACTCCCTTATGTAGATGAAGCCCCCAGCTCTTGAGGGCCTGGTGGAGACTGGTTCCAGCCCTTCCCTCAGTGGCTGCTGTCACACCCCAAAGGCATTCCTAGGACTTCCCCTGGTCTGGATCCCTGGTGCTGCACCTGGGTCAGGGTGGGCAGCATTCCCATCCAGGGTAATCCCAGTCCCAGGTAGGAGTGTCCTAGATTCTCCTGCCTCTCCCCAGTGATAGGACTTTCTGCAGTTCACTGCATCAGGACAAGTCAGGCAGGGATTCAGACAATAATCAGGCATGCAGGTGCACTGAAGCAGGACTCTGCTCATAGGCTTAGGGTGCTTTGCATCCAGAAGCATCTTCTCAGGGTGCTCCCAAGGGACCCAGCAGCTTTGGGGACCAAGGCTCCTTGCTGAGTTTCCAGTAGGAGAGTCAGGAACAAAGAGAAGGGGAGATTAGATTTGTCCTTGTGGGCTCTGATTTATGCTAGGGTCAGGAGCACTAGTGAATACTGTTCCGTTAGGTCTCAGGCAGCTCCCATGCTTCCAGGGCACCTCCGGGTGGTGGTTCTGGGTTTCCTGCCTTGGACCCATGCATCTGTCATCAGGGGTCTGGACAGCCTTGAGGCCTATGCGTAGAAAGGGAGCTTAGTGGCTGAAGGTTTGGAACAGCCTTGAGCCTCAGAAAAATTGAGGCCAGAGCGGGTGTAGGAGTTGCATCCACCCCTTCTAAGCAGCTCACATCTCCAGAGGTTAGTCATTTGCTTGCTTGCTCTCACATTTATTCCCTGCCCAGCTCTGCTGTGTACTACAGAGAACTACATTTCCCAGGCTCCTCTGACCTCTGATTTTCTGGTATGTTTGGCCAATGGGAGACACTGGCAGGAAGGAGGTGAGGAGAACTCTAGGTATTTCTCCCTCTCTCAGTTTCAGGCAGCATCTCTGCCTTGGCTGGTCTCTCCCATGGATCTGGCTTCCACTGGATGTTCTTCCCTCTTGGCCTTGGGAAGGCCTGGCTGTGCTTCCAGTTTCTGTCAGATAGCTTCAGATACCGGCACTAGTAACACTGCTGCTTCCCTGCGTTCCTCCAACCTAGTGACTGGAGTGTCTTTTTGCTATTGTTAATCCCTGTGGTGCTTCTAGGATCTTTTTTTACCTGTGTAACTCCCTCCCCATGTCCCTCTGTTCACAAGTCATAGTGGTTCTCTTTCTGACTGGACAGTGACTCTTGTGTGGCTTAGTGGCTAAGGGTACAGGGGGGCGGTGGACAGTGGAGCTGGGGCTTCCAGGTACCTCTGCCCCTCGGGCTGCCCAGC